TTGTAAAGACTGACCAAGACTGAACATTGCCATGCCGAGGCCTGCATCTGACAGTATGGAAATGGACTTTGCTATGATTGCAGGCATTTGTACATTCCACCTACAACACTCCCGGTTATCAAAACAGATTTATATACCCATGAAGACATAAAATCGAAATATAAAGTTTAAAACCTGAATGAGATGAGAGACCAAGTGAGTCCGATTAAGCTCGAATAAGTGTTGGGATTTCTAATAAGCTTTCTCCAAACCATGATCAGTATAAGCCTTGTCATTACACTTGTGGGAGGCATGGTTATGGGTTTACTAATGCCATCACCTACTTTCTCACCTTCCTGGACATTGTTCATTTCTCTTCTGTTCCCAAAGCTGAAGTCATCTCTCTCCATGACCTCCTCCTCATTCTCTCTATTCCCTTCAACTGACAGGATAAAATATCCCATTAATATTAAAAATAACAGAAAAAAAATTGTCTGAAAGTACTTAAAAGAAAAGACTATACCTTTCCCTGGAGAGACAACTACCCTAACTTCCTTATGGTCTGTTGCAGCACCATATTCATGGCCACCGAAGACATCAGATACCGGGGAAGCACTTGAGCTCCAAACAAACATATGAAGATCTTTGCCCCCTTCTTCATGCTTTTGCTGGTGTTGACCATTAGGCTTTTTAGCATTACCATTAGCACCTTTAGAGCCGGTGGGCGAAAACATACCAGGATTAGGAGCAGGGTAATGAGCCGTTGGCCCACCGGGTGTGTTGTAATGTAACCTCGGCTTACCGGTTGCCGCACCGTCTTCCTCAAAATTCGACGGCCTAGGGGTCGGTCCACGGGAAGCAGACAAGCCATAAACGTCGGCAGAACCGAAATTCGAATTGCGTCCACCGGCCATCATGGAGTAGAAATCGGTGTGGTTAAAGCTCGAGCCTCTCGGCGTGGGGTTTCTCGATGATTGCAGGGAGTAAATCTCGGCATTGGTTAGATTGGAAGGTCGTGGCGTCGTGGAAGACAAACCTTGGGACCTTCTCGAGAAAATGTCAGACCTCGAAGCATTCGATCTTCGGACAGTAACATGGAGCTTACCATCTTCTTTGATCTCAGCTTCGGTTTCAATAGGCTGTCGACCATCGAGCGACATGATATCCGAGTCGACATGGATGGAAACAATGGAACCGGCTGTGTCCGGGAATTGCTCGGAGATGAGCATTTTGGCAGCTCGATATTCAAACATGAAAAGCATCAAAGTGTACCAAATAATGCATTGAAGGACGACGATTTGCACCATCAAGCTCCCCGAGAAATCACCGTACATGCCTTTAAGCAAAGGGATACCCATAACCAACGTATTTGGAAGCGTGGAGAGTGAGAAGAGTGTGATTGTCCATTCCAAGCAGCCTCTTTTGCTCACCTTGGTCCAAACCGCTAACACCACGAGAACTATAACTTTCTGCAAGCTATCAGCTGCTATGAAACGAAAGTTCATAGCATAAGGATTGTTCGACGCTATGAAGTGAAAAGAGAGAAGCGGCACGGCAAAGAGAGCGACAAAGCGGTTGATGCCGGAGCACTGATCGGGCGTGAATATCTTCCACCACTTCACGGAACCGTAAGCTAAAATCATGGCCACGTAGAGTGGCACCATTGCAGTCATGACATGGTAGAAGTCTGTTAACGTGATCATCTTTGAAGCAACAACACAGGATTACAAGTGCAAAGAAGAAGAAGAAGAAATTGAGAAGGGAAAGAGCATGTGATGTTGAAGAAAGGAAAGTGGGTAAGAAGAGCAGAGAATAAAAAGCTTTTGAGAGTTGTGAGCAAGCTTGCACTTGCAGTCCCCAATGCCTAAAGCAATGGGTTTTTTTTTTATTTTTGCCTTTTATTTTAGAGAAAATCGCCTCAGTGACCAAAAAAAAGTTATAATATACGATTTTAACCAACATTTTTTGGATTTGCGAAAATGACCAACAAAATCGCAACGCCGAAATAAAAATCGCAACGCGATTTAGAAAATCGCAACGTTGAAAAGAAAATCGCAACGGTCAAAAGAAAATCGCAACGCGATATTCCAAGAATCGCAATGCGATTAAGAGAATCGCAACGCGATCTTCCAAGAATCGCAACGCGATTCAGAAAATCGCAACGCGATTCAGAAAATCGCAACGCGATTCAGAAAATCGCAACGCGATTCAGAAAATCGCAACGCGATTCAGAAAATCGCAACGCGATTCAGAAAATCGCAACGCGATTCAGAAAATCGCAACGCGATTCAGAAAATCGCAACGCGATTAAGAAAATCGCAACGCGATTCAGAAAATGAGTAAATTTTTCAAAAGCTTTGTATTGTTTCTTTCTTAAGAATTTTCTCTAAAAAGATAGTATCCGCGCGGACGTGTCGAAGACACGTATTACCACGACCACGACCACGACCACGACCACGACCACGACCACGACCACGACCACGACCACGACCACGACCACGACCACGACCACGACCACGACCACGACCACGACCACGACCACGACCACGACCACGACCCGAGACGAGACGAGACGAGACGGCGGCGGCGGCGCGCGAGAGTCCCCCTTGTTCTCTTTCACTCAACAAGGAAATGGGAAATCCAAGCCTTAAATACACTTCCCAAGAGTGTTTCCAATACTATGTGGGATTGAGCATTACTCAACACTTCAAAGAAATATAGCATTTTTGTAGTATTTTCCCACTTAATCCATATCTAAAAATATTAAAACATTTTATCAAGAGAATTAAAAGAGTTGTAGATATCTACATTTCAATTCAACTTATATATATAGTTTTAATATGATAAAATGTTTAATATTTTTAAATATGGATTAAGCGGGAAACATGCTACAAAAATTGCTATATTTTCTTTGAAGTGTTGAGTAATGCTCAATCCCACATAGTATTGGAAACATTGGGAAGAGTATTTAAGGCTTGGATTTCCCATTTCCTTGTTGAGTGAAAGAGAACAAGGGGACTCTCGCGCGCCGCCGCCGCCGTCTCGTCTCGGGTCGTGGTCGTGGTCGTGGTCGTGGTCGTGGTCGTGGTCGTGGTCGTGGTCGTGGTCGTGGTCGTGGTCGTGGTCGTGGTCGTGGTCGTGGTCGTGGTCGTGGTCGTGGTCGTGGTCGTGGTCGTGGTCGTGGTAATACGTGTCTTCGACACGTCCGCGCGGATACTATCTTTTTAGAGAAAATTCTTAAGAAAGAAACAAATACAATAGCTTTTGAAAGAATTTACTCATTTTCTGAATCGCGTTGCGATTCTTGGAATCGCGTTGCGATTTTCTGAATCGCGTTGCGATTTTTGGAATCGCGTTGCGATTTTCTTAATCGCGTTGCGATTCTTGGAATCGCGTTGCGATTTTCTTAATCGCGTTGCGATTCTTGGAATCGCGTTGCGATTTTCTGAATCGCATTGCGATTCTTGGAAGATCGCGTTGCGATTCTCTTAATCGCATTGCGATTCTTGGAATATCGCGTTGCGATTTTCTTTTGACCGTTGCGATTTTCTTTTCAACGTTGCGATTTTCTAAATCACGTTGCGATTTTCTAAATCGCGTTGCGATTTTCTAAATCGCGTTGCGATTTTTATTTCGCGTTGCGATTTTGTTGGTCATTTTCGCAAATCCAAAAAAAGTTGGTTAAAATCGTATATTATAACTTTTTTTTGGTCACTGAGGCGATTTTCTCTTTATTTTATGGTGTAGGCTTTTGAGTTGTGATAAGATGTTGGTACATTTGTAAATTGAATATAGTACCATTGTGGTGGCTCTACCTTCGATGGTTGAGTAGGAAAAAGCAATTTGGGTGGGTGGGTGTGTCTCCAAGTATTTGTTTGGGATGGATCCTATACCTTCTTGGATTCGCTTTTTTGCTATATGGATTCTCTCTCTACCTTTTTATTCTCTCACTCCTACCAAATAAATCCTCTTCAAATTCACTAATCAATTCGTTTGCTTCATTAATCAATTAAGAATTTGGTTAACTCTATTCTATATGGTTTTAAATTTATAATTGTATTTGTTTCAAATATTGTTGGATTAGTCTTAATTCATGAACTTTAATAGTTTACTTGACTGTATCTAAGGCCCAAAAGTAATAAGACACAAAAAAGTGTAATCATATCCAAAATCTTAGATAAAAACAATTTACTTATTTTAAACGTACATGGATCAAGATGCACTTGAATGCCTACACCATACACGAATTGATGTGAATATCATTTTAATATCCAAAGTAAAAGTACATTGAAAATTGACGGTTAAAAGAAATATTAAGTAATTTTGAGAGCATCTCCAAAATGAGTGATGAAATAAAATCAATTTGGGGAGAAGTGAATGCGCTTAAATATGCGGCGTTAGTTTTGGGGAGGTGCAGGACAACGATATAAGCCCAAAACACTACTCCCCTTCACGTGGACCCGAGTTTATCATCCATCTCCAATTCATATCGATACTTTATCAATAATTAGATTATGAATTTACGAATGAGATAAATTAAATTTGAAAAATTAATGTTATTCTTTAAAATTTTAGGTTCAAATACTACATAGGTAAGAGAATGAGTATTTATTGTCAAAATATTAAACATTTCGTCTTCCGTCAAGGGTTAAATCAATTCTAGATATAGTCAAAGTTCAGATACAGGCTCTCAGACGAAATAAAAGGAAAAGATTTACTCTTTTGTAGTTAAGATTTCATGCAAATGGTAATGGAAAGAATTCAACATATTGTGCAAAAATGGGCATGATAAATATGTATTGAAGAATGTTTAAAAGCTTCTCACAAAGAAGCTCAGAAAATTAAATCGTAGAAAACGTAATTACCTTAATGGGGTTTCAATGATGAGATAATTACCAAAATTTGTTCAATCCTATATATGATTCAAGTTCAGTTGTTACTATAGATAGATATGACTACATATTCAAATAGTTCTCGGCACGAAACTAACAAGGCATCCGGGACTGGAAGCTCCGGAACCTTCAGTGGAACATAGCGAGAGACGGAAGCAAGAGCGAAACAACATTTTGTGAACTTCATTTAGACCCGGGAAGGTCAATCCAGTTGAGTTGAATTTCCAGTTCACCGCACTCCACATTTTTCAATCGGAGGCAAAGGTCCTGCACGACCTTCCCGTCGATCCACATAATGGCGCTCTCTTCAGACAGGCAGTTGGATCTGCACGGTTGCACTCTCGAAATTGTGGTTCCACTCGGGATGTCTTCCAAATCTTGTTTCAAGGCTTCCACGTAAGGCCTAATGTCAAACTCTGCCTCTCCCATTTTGTCATCCTTGGTAAAAGTGTCATGGTCATACACTGTCTGGTAGCAGAAATAACCTCATATGTTAAAATGCCAAAAGAACAAAACATGATTATAGCCCTAGTATATATATATATCATGAAATAACAAAGAAGCTTATGAAAGCACAAATTTTAACAAGTTATATACTAATCATTTTTAAACATATTGGGATGTTTCTTTAACCTTAGGGCATGGGATTTTCTATCTATATAATGAAACATGGAAACACCTTGAGTTACACTCCATTATTTGTTTGTTTTCTTTTGTTCTTTGATTCGGTGATCATGTATGCATGCAAATATTTTATTATTTGATCGTGCTCTACTGTCTATCAAGAATTCAGAAAACTGCACAAGGTTGCCTAGACAGAGACCAAGACAGAAAATTGCTTGGGACTAAACTCAAGGAAAGAAAGCATATTGTTCCTTGATAGTTAAACAACTAAAAAATATAAATTCCGTAACAGCATTTGATGACATTGAATAATGTCCGTTAACAACTTTGCAAAGAACACACAGTAAACCAACTCAAGGAATTAATTAAAAAAAAGAACGAACACCGTTAGCAACATCAAGAAGACAAACAACAATTTAAGCATATAAATGATGATCCAGTCAAGAACTTGTCGCAATTTAAACATGTTTGCATGCATATATATATATATATATGCAACTAAATCTAGAAGCTGTAAAATACTGGGGGAATGGTTATCTAATGTAGGCGCCCAATGTTCTCCTATACAATAATGCAAGTGTTGATTATTGAACTGACACTCCATGAATATTGTACAAGAAAACTTACCAGTTTTATTGGAACACTAGGATCCATTACTGAAAGAGTCAAATCCTCATTCCACTCAGGATTAACATCCTTCTTTTTTACACGAGTCTTCAGTTTCTGCAAAAGAAATATTTACATGCAAAATTAGAAAGGTATTCATGCCCAGGCCATAAAATCCAAGTGCAACTATCGCGTTTTGTAATATCAATTTTATACTTTTACATGATATATATATTGTTAAACCTTCAATCTAATTAGAAGCATCGAGTTTAGTAAGTGATTTCTAACATATTAATGAATATAGTTATTGAATCTGAAAGTCAACTACGGTTCACCATATTAATTTCCACAATCAATAATCCTTCAAGTTGCCTTTGAATCCAGAATTTTGATAAGAAGCCAAAATTTCAATGTGTTTTAGGAGGAAATTGCATCAAAGTGATATTCGTAATCAAATATAAATATTTACAAATAAAAAAAACAACAATAAATGTCCTTGCGAAATTGTTAACCGATCACAATAAGCTAGGGGAGACAGACCTGTTTACCCATCTTAACAACGACGTAAGGGTCGCTGCTTCGGACATCACGAACGGCAAGGTTGACGCCCCGTTTGACCCGAATCCGTAACAGACCCAACGAACAGGCCATCAACGATGAGTTCCCTTCACTTGGAGATTCTGCCATTTTTTTGGGTCTCCCTTCATTTATACGTAAAATAAACCAGTTTATTCCTTACTTTAACTTTTACCAAATCAATATTCAAAATAAATAAATAAAATATTAAAGGAACTTTTGCATCAGAAAACTATTAAAAAACAATACTTGAATATAACATAAAACAAATTAAAATATATGAATTATTAAATATATATATCCGATGATTAATTAAAATTAAAATTCAAAAATTATAAAGAAATGAAATAACTTAATTTTAAAGGTACCAGGTTTAAACACATAACACAAAGGGGACCTACCTGACCGTTCTTCGTTGACAGTCGAGGAGTTTTTCTTAAAAAGAAAAAAAAAACAGTATTTGGAGGCAAGATGGTGGGGCGCGGTAATATATCACGGGAGAGTGACCGGGAGATCTGGTATAGGAAACTACTGGATGGGAATTGGTCTTCGTTGTATAATTGTTTAGGGAAGGTGAGTAAAATACGGCGTATCCCATTGTTTCCCGACGTCGGTTCTGGAACTTCCCTTGGACTCGGGCCTTCTTATCAGCCTGCAAAGAGACATTTGTCACTACATTATTCGGGAATAGTGCAGAAAAACAGAGACATCAAAATTGTGTGTAGCAGCAACAACAATACTTTTATCGGGTATTCTTGGGAGGGGAAAGAGAGAATAGTAAGATACTATTTGACATATACAGAACATCCACGTTAATTTTCGGATATTCTTTAAGTCCTTTTTTTCACCTTTTTCATTAAATGAATCTTTATTAGTAAGCACAGCATCAAATTCTATACTTCTCAAATTTTGAGTATTGAACCACAGATATGAACCATAAGAAAATCATATATATTGACCAACAAAAAGACTGCATTTTTTGTAGATAAATTAGACCACTCTTTAGAAATTATTATATATCATAAGCGTATTATATACATGTCATGAGTCTAAGACAATACGAGGGTTCTAGCACCTAGAGTGCGCCTTGCACCCTTGACAATGCCAAGGCTCTGTTTAAGGGTAATATCTATTCAAGTTCAAAAGTTAACTAAAAGATAACAGAAAGGATAAATATTACCCATGAATAACAATAAATAATGCTCTGTGTCCTCCAAATTTTCCATAGCAACAATAGCAAGTGGAATAGATATGTATAGTGACGCTTTTTCATGAACATGCCACCCAAATAAAAAGCCACAAGTATATGCATATGCAACTGAACTGACAATCAGTCTTGGCCTGGGATCTCTCCAAGTTTTAAAAAGACAAGGCAAGCAGAATCATAATAAAGGTTGTCATGGGTGTTATATGCCATTTCATTGAGATTCAATATGAGACAGATCAATTCCCGATATTCCCGAAAAACTGTGGGGATGTGGAGAGATGGAAGCAGATGTACTCGTATAAAATGTGGTTGATCTATAATGTACTTGAACATGCAGGGTGATATTTAAGAGTTTACAAAATATTTCTCACTTAGGCTATTCATGGGATATATTAGAGACAAGACAATTCAGTGCTTGACATTAGGTTTAACCTTACAGTTGTTTTTGATACATGTAGGGAGAAGAATTAACCTTTTACATTAAGGAATTAAAATATTTCATTGCATCGTAAACTCGCACGAAACGAAAAATTTTATTTTAAGTAAGCTTTTTGCTCATATGAGTGGTGGTTTCAACAAATACTTGTTAACTATGTCTGTGCTTTGCACTGTTTCCCCAACTTATGATATCCAATTTCATTGTTAAATGTTAGCCTACCCACGTTTGCCGGATTATATCATGATTTCCATAATCTCATCCTGTTTCGGGTTCCATGATTTATCAGATATGTCATTTCTGTTGCGTTTATAGCCGGTCTGAAAATAACATGTGTTGGTTGTGTTGGTTTTGCTGCATTCTCAGTTGCAATCGAGAAGTTTTTCAACAGACACACTTGCTAAGAGAGTCACCTCTGGTCCAATCTTGCAGATGAAGACGGAATTCATAGCTCACTCTCACACACACACATATATATATATATATTGTTCAATTTGTACCTGATTCATAGCAACAATGGAAGGAATATAATGTTTTCAGGAGTTGAAATCCTTTCAAGTGTTAAATTTTGGATATTGAATATATTTATATTGCTTTATTTTTATAACAGCGGCTGAAAAGTAATGTCAATAGATACAGATGCAAGATTTTATGTTAATAGTAGTAAATTTATAAAATTTTAAATATGTAAAACTTATAAAATTTTAGGGGTGAAAACATTTTTCAATGAAAAATATAAAAAATATATAAAATATAAAAGGATAAAATTTTAAATAGGTAGAATTTATAAAATTTTAGAGGTGAATATTTTTCAATGAAAAATAAAAAAATATCTAAAATATATAAAAATTTGAAATTTTTCGAAGGGCCGACAGTTATTATTTGCCCCTCTAGGTACATCCCTAAATGTTAGGCAATTAAGTTAATCATGAATGGTTCGGTTCTGATCGAATTAAGATACACTTGTGTATTAATTAAATAATGAGTAAGATTTGTGTACACTTGTGTATTAAACAATGAGTAGGATTTGTGTAGGGAAACAATGTATTCTGTTAGTTGAAAGAGATGGAAAAAGGAAAAAGAAAAAAGGAAAAAGTGAAGATGGGTGGACAAAGGCAAGGCAACAATAATAATGATAATGCCATTCATAAATCTAAAAGCTAAAGAGAGAAAAAAAAACACTTTATTTATCTATCACCATCACACCACCATTTCCTCTCCAATTAATCCATCCAAATCCCATCTATATTCAACTAACATCACCAACAATATGCTACATCCAGCCCCCGATCTGCTACCGCCGCCCTCCTCCCCCACCATCTCCTCCGTCTCCTCCTCTGATCTCGACACTGAGGTAATTTTCATCAACTTTCCCATGTTTTATTTTGGGTTCAGCTTAATCTTTCCTTCATGCAATCTTTTGTTTTGTGTGTGTGTGTGTAAATGAAGTCGACAGGGTCTTTCTTCCATGATAGAAGCACTACATTGGGAACATTGATGGGAGTCAATTTTCCGGCTATCACTTTTCGAGCTCCTTCCCGCCACCATCGCGAGACGCAACAGGAAAGCGCCGGTTCGGCTTCTGCGACGGCGACGAAATTCAAGAAGAGGAGGGCGCTGACTGCTGCTTTCGGGGCGGAGCTTCTAGGGAGGCGGCGAAGGAAGTGGTGGCAGTTATGCAGGGACGGAGATTCCAAGCCGGCTTCACTGGGAGAGTTCCTGGATGTGGAGAGGAGGTTCGGAGACGGCGCGTTTTACGGTGCGGCGGCGGAGCTTGAAGGAGTGATGGGGACGGCGCACGATGAGCATCATGATGCGAGGAATGGACGGTCGTTGTTTGCTGGTGGAAGGGTGTTGCCTCCATCTCATCCGGGCGGTGATGATGAAGAAGAAGATGAAAAGGCCGGGGGTGTTTGTAGATTCCCGGTGTCGCTCACGGGGATATGTAGCGGTGGCGTTGGATAGAGCGTACACCTTTTGACTTGTCTGCTCACCCTGCATTTTTTTTATTGTTTTTCTCAGTGCATAATTATAAACTTGTCTATCGCTTTTTTTCTTTTGGAACATCCCAAAAGGAGTATAAACAATTACTTCTGGGTTATAATTATCGCTTTGTCCATTTACTAATTGAATAATTTAGCTTCTGGGTTATTTAATTGAATAATTTTCTTTTTAGCAATATTTTTAATTAAAATATTTATTTGGAAAGTTTGAAGTTGTAATCATTTTGAAAAATAATGAGATTATCGTGCTTTTTTAATTAATCACATATATTTCATTTGATTCTTTAAGTTGCCATCAAAATTTCATCTTTATCCTCAAATGAACACAGAGATCCAAATCTGAAACATAAGTTTTGATTGGCCAACTACTCCACCCATTTTCCATTTCCATCCCTAATGCAAATGGTGCTATTCCCACCGTCAATGGCCTCACTGGTCTCCCATTGGGGACCGGATTATCAGGCACGGCCTTTGCCGGCAACGTAAACCAAAACGGGCAGCCTCAGGTCCCTCTTGGACCGGATGGATTGGGACTAGGATTCGGAATGATCACCGTCATCGACGACATACCGACTGCTAGCCCAGATTTGGGGTCACTCGCGATAGGGAAAGCTCAGGGTGTTTATGTGGCTACTCGGCAGACGGAACGACCCAGATGATGGCATTCACAGCCATGATCGAAGGTGGGGAATACAACGACAACCTCAACTTCTAAGGGGTGTACAAGGTCGGAAGCACGATGTCGCATGCGTCGGTGACAGGCGGAACGGGGAGGTTTAAGAATGCTTGTGGTATTGCGGAGGTTCGACCTCTTATACCACCTGGTCAACATGTCACCGATGGCGCTGAGACATTGCTGAGGGTCACTGTCCATCTCAAATACTAAGATATTGAATCTTGTCTTTAAAATTGTGTGAAACAAATGAGCATGGTATTGCTTTTCCAGTTGCAAAATCTTTATAAGGTTGGTCTCCAACGCCGAGAAAAGCAGGTCCATGGGAAGAAGAAAATAAACCTGGCGTCTCTCCAACTCACCATCTGCCGTTAATCCATGAACCCTGGAACCGACTTTTAAGCTGCTCGAATCGCACACTAATTGGCCTGGATTCTCCGCCATCAGATCGGCTGCTTTGAGTGGTTTGGCATATATCCGCAACTTCCCATCTGGGAACACCACTTGAAATGATCGACGGTGCACAACAAACTGCATTCCCCATAATTGAACAGAATTATAATGGCAGAGGAAAACCATACACCCTTTGTAATTTTGACCTGAATATATGTCCATGCAAAGATGGTGGTTGAGAGATTTAAGGGGAGGGTTTATTTATTTATTTACGGGTCATGATGTTACCAAATTATGTTCAAATTACAGAATCATTATCATTAAATCTTATTAAAATTCATCAAAGTTTTATGATTTTTATAATACTGCAGCTATATTCTATAATAATATAAATATTATTTTATAATTTTAAAAAGGCCTCACATATGAGTATGAAACAAGAAGATGAAAGCAAATTTTCATGAGCTGATGGGATCACCAAACTTTAGTTTTGCCGTCTTTCTTTATTATTTAAGGCTCCGACTGTAACTTAAAATATTCAAATTATTGTATCAAAACTTGTTTGCATATCATTTACAAGTTTGTTAATTAGTGAGCACATGGAGTAATGTAAATAGGCATTGCAAAACCACACCACCAACCCCATGATGGGATATGGTTAGAAGCTATTTCATATTCTCTGCGCCTCTTTCATCATTACTTGATCATAAATACATCCCTTTTCTTTTGCACACACCACACCAATTGCTGTGAATGTCAAATCTTCTCTATTTCCTACCTTGAAAACCATCCTTTACCTACCTATTTCATTTTATCTACAAGAAACCACATTTAATCAGGATTGTTAAAATTATAAATAGGTTTAATGGTTCAAGACAATTGATCAGAATTGTTATTATCGTCACCCTAAACACTAACAAATTAAATACATAAAAGATTTGGGGAAAAAACTTCTCTTATCACCTTAGTTATATCTCCCACTAATTTTAATAACATCTTATACTATAAAATTAATTGTTTTAATAAAAAAAAATCAAGTTTAGATTAATTGTTTCTAATAAATAAAATAAAATCAGGTCGAATTTAAATTTAAGATAAAAAAAATCCCCAACCTAATTATACTTGAGATACTGGTATAATTATCATTCATGCATTTTAAAATAATTATAATAATATCCTCTTAGGTCTCATACATATTTGTATCTAATTAGATCAGATCGAATACAATTTTTATTCTAAACCGAGTCAAGTTTCAAATAAAATAAAACCTTTTTAAATTCAGATCAGATATGATAGCAGGAATCAAATTAAAATAAGTAAAAACCCCAACCTAACTCAACTCATGCTTAATTATATTATTTATACCACATGAATGTCGAATTCTTATTTGTTATTTTAAACTAAATAATGGTGTTTAGTCGTGACAATTCAGACATGATATTAAACATTTTTATCGAAATACAAGTATCATGTTGGACATTTTAAAAATATAAATATTACATTAGACATTCGATCAAAGTAAACGTGTCCTATTGAACATTTTAAAAGTCAAATATAATCCGAATGCACATTATCAAGCCTAACGCTGAACACATGAAAATCTGCATTTAGTACAATACTTTGATCAAAAGCAAAAGAATTTTTTGCCATCACTCAAGTCTTCTAACATATCCATACATCTGACTTGCTTTGCTATTCTGTATACTGTACTATCTGTACATGTGAAAATTGAACTTCCAAAAGAATACAAATCAAAGAATACCGACACGCTTACCGACTCTGCACACACCATAACCAACCAAACAAAATCCCATAAGCGGAAAAGAACACACACAAGAAAGAATGAAATGAATATGGAACAAGGGACATGCAAAAACCCCACAACTAAAACCTCTTATGATTCAAATCTTACGTGCAAAGGAGATGAAGTGGTCCCCGGATGGATTGCCTTCACCAATGCCACGAACTGGGACAGACTCTCTTCCGAGAACCACTTCACTTTCCACGTCTGAGTCTGAGACCTGGCTACATTCTTTTCTTTCTTACTACTTGTACCGACCATCTTTTGTATTTTCGTTGAGGAGCAGACCTCTGTTGTGCTGCACTCGAAAGATAATGTCACGCAACGCCTCTCTCTGTTCTCGATAATCTAGAGAAGTCAGACCAGAAAAAGGAGATTATGCATATTATATAGCAAACAGCAAGGACCTCTTCATGAACATATAATAGGGAAAATCACTGTTCTGAAAAAATAATAAGTTTAAACAGAAAATACGGCCATATACCGCTATTATGACTGTTACAGCAACCAATTTCACTAACAACATAATATATTAGTAGCATGATGCAAGAATGAAGTACTGGAAAAGTTACCATCTCAGATACATCTGCGATCTTGCAGCATGAATCCAGGGAGAAATATGGAGGTGAACATGCATCATTTAGGAGAGAACTGAACCGAATAATGTCTTCGACACACAAAAGCACTTGTCCTCCAATGACAAACAGTGATCGTGAAAGCCATGATTCCTCTGTTTTCACATGAAAATTAAGCATATTATCAAATCCAAGGTTTATGTGTCTATGCTTCTGCATTCACAAGCGAGAGGGAGTGCAAGAATAAATTATTAACAAAAAGGCGCTTTCATATAATCTAAACCAAGAATATGAACTGCTAAACATGATCATACAACCACCTTTTTTCTCTGAATGCATGCACACTCAGGACCAAAGGCATCAGCATCCACAACCATGATACCAAACAAGCCAAAAAAAAATAATGATATGCATGCAAACATAAACCAAAAGTTATTTTGGACAAACAAAGATGCAAAAACAGTGTCTGCAACAAAAATATCAACGGCAAATACAACCTGTTTATGCTCCCTTTAAACATACCTACAAAAACACAATCCTATTCATCCAAAGTTGCATATAAAGAGCCACCAACATTTATCAGGAACTGAAAGAACAAGAACATATAAAAAACGACTCTAAATTGCATTGCCACTTCTTTCTCTACCTTTCAATTTTCATTATTTTGCATGAAACAGTATCTAGCCTCCCCATTGCACACAAGATTATAGGAAATAAGCAATATTAAATATAACAAATCATGACAAGATAAAATTTAGTGCACATACCTTCATTGCCACCTTTCTGAAAAAGCACCATTGAGTATTGGAAAATGCTTAATTTTAAACCTCCACATATTTGTTTCTCAAACAACTCAACCTGAACCTGCTCCAAACTGCCATTTAAATTTCCAAACCTCAATCTATCATCACAAAGAAATGTACTCTGTATGGCAGCTATTGACGTCAAAACTAATCATTATTAAATTCCTCATCCTATTTGATGTAAGTTGTTGATCTAGAGTGGTTTTTGGACATAGAAATTTACATTTGATTTCAGTGCATGCAACTTGAACTACATTCACCGAGACATAGGGATGAAAAAAAACACATATAAATAAACGAAGGCCAATTTAAATCTAAGTACCAACAAGGACGCATAATATGGGAAGAACAAGGAACGGATACGGTAACACGGGAAAATTTAAAAAATTAGGACACTAGTATGGCAAGGTAACAATAAAAAAATACTTTTACATGATAATCTACAATAAAAATGCAACTTAACTATAAAAAACCATTAGAACCAAATAATTCAAAAAAGGCCAAAAGGTCCTAAATTATCGCACTCTAATACCCATACCACATTATACTTCTTCCCCCCTGGTTCTCATTCCAGACATTAGGTTAATACTTTGCTTTCTACTCCTACGCTTTCTAGTATTTAAACATTTCTGTCTTGACCATGTCTGATTTTTTCCCAACTTACTATTGCATGTCCAATGTATTTTGCCACATCTGAGAAATGTTTGTGTCGGACATGTGCTCAACACTTGGATACTCCGCTGGCAAGTGTTTGTGCTTCATGTTATGATGTTCAGATAAGTATTTATATCACATAAACACAGACACAATTACAGATGGTATGTTAAGTATGTTTCATGGTTAAGTGAAAGAGTATTGAAATCACCTCCTTAAAGAACATTTATCATTTGGTGCAGATATATCCGAAAATTTCAACGTATAAAGCAATTGAATTGATTTCTCGAAGCTCCTTGTTAAGAACAAGTACGCTAAACTCCCTTCAACATACACCCTAACCAACAATAGAAAATAGAGACAGTTAGAGGAATGAATGGTTATATCTTAACCTCCATTGAAGTTACAAATCACTAACCTCACAACCTGAAGGCTCAGACCAACTAAAACCGCTCTTATGTCTTCAATCCTATGTGAACCTAATAAATCCAAGGTACTCTCTGCAGAGACAGTAAAGTGAACGCCATAATGAAATTTGACAACCAACTCAAGAAATTTTGTCAACAAAGCAGCACTGCAAAGACTATCAACAAGTGCACGCCTTATGCAAAGGCTACTTCATTATCCAACCTGATCCGTCAAATGCGATGCCAACAAGCAGCACATACAACTTTTCCTCGCTGCTCAATACTAGAGCTACTTCTCTGCAGATGTAAAGAAAGCAACAAAAACAAAATTATTTAAAATACCAAGTCCTCAATTAACAAGAAAGGCCTGGTTGGCACAGGTTTACGATAAATCATAATCAACACAAAATGAAACACCAGAAAACCATATCAAGCAAACAAGATCAAGGGTTTTCAGAAATGTCCAATGTGAACATCTAGCCTAAAAACACGTTAGAAAACCATGAAGATTCACATGAAAAAGAGAAATTTCTCGGAGAAATAAATTCATTAAAAGATGTGAAGGGTAAATGCAAATGCATAAAGAATATAAAAGGTGTTTGATCTGTACAACTTCACAAAAAAATAATTATGATTAAGCTGATAATAGACACCATTGTGAATTGAAACTCATTGTGGAAGTAGTGTCAATGATTACCAGTAATATGATTTTGAATTCACAAGCAGGAGACTTAAAAGCCTCATCAAAACAAATATCCTAACCTTTTTCTCTAAAGTCTGCAGTACTTACCTTTCTTTGCAAAAAGATTGGTCAACCATACAACTGCAACACATATATAACCTACAAGTTTCATGAGCTCTCAAATCCGCAACATTTTTATTGAAATAGTCCTCAATAAAATCATTCTTCCCCGAGAAGAGCACTCAGCATCAGAATATTTCACACCATTATCAAGTGGCAGCATTGAAATTGCATTTTTAATCTGGTTTCTATCAAAATCTTTCCAATGACCACTCTCGTTTGAAGAGTTCTTCCCTTTCATTTCTTTAATATGAACCCCACTAGCCCCCAGGCTGCCATTCGATTCTTGTGGTACATGTTGACAGCTGTTCTCTTCCAACAGTGAAATCACTCTTCTTTGGTTTCCTTCCACTTTTTCTCTTCTCAAACCAATCTGCCTCTTGGTTCACAAAAGAAGATGTCTCTAGATCATTAGAACCTGTATCTAACTCAGGGGGCAGTGACAGGGATTGCTTCATATTTACAAATTTGTTGGTCCTAGGGGCTTGTTCAGAGCGTGAATCAATGATGCAGACGCCATTTTCACTCCCATGTGAGGTGTTATTTCCATTTTCATAATAAGCATGCCCAAAAAAGTTTGCTGGAGAATGCCCTTCAGTGCTCCTATTGGGATATTCCTCAACAGGTATCCTAGCTTCGCTGTAATCATCTTCACTGCAGCTCGTAACACTGTCTGATGATGCCACCGAATAGGACTCCGCTGATAGCTGTAGAATTTCTTCCACCAAATTCTGGCGACGATGCAAAAGTTCCTTCTTATAATGAGGAGGTGATCCAGGGTTAGCATATGAAGAATTAGACTCTGTTATATTACCAATTGAATTCAAATGTGATACACTGGCATCTTCAACCATTCTATTAGTTTCTTCAAGGAAAAAAATATTATGATGAGAACTCTCAGCTAAAATGGATCCACTACCAGTCTCATCATGCAAGTGTGATTTTTGATACTCCTGTTTCACTTCCATTGTTCTCAAGCCTGGTAGAGAAAATCCACCATTAATTCCTGAGGAAAAAATGTGGTCAAAATATCTGTTGGCATTCACACTGGCTGAAGTATCTGCAAAAGAATTATCAGATTCCAAAACATTCATGCTACTTTCATCTCCTGAACCTTGAACCGATTCTGAAACACATTTAGAACTTTCACTAAGATGCCTCACGCTTTTCCCACTTTTCTTATACTTTTCTTTCCCCGGATGTAACATAGCCGTATTAAAACCACCATCAGCAAAATTTTCAGAAGCATGATCCATCCAGTCCTTGAACTCTCGTAACCAAAGAAAAGAACGTTCTTTCTTCAATTGTTCTACTCTTTTCATCAAATCGACTATTTCAGCTTCATCTTCAGATATGATATTCTCCTCTCTGCTTCGCATTTCATTATCACATGACACAGAATCTAGATCGGAATAAATGCATGTGTTATCTTGTCCATTCTCAATACAAGCAAGTCGAGACGCCTTTATCTGCAAAAGGTTAAAATGATAACCACCTATTACCACAGCTAAAGAGGTATAATAAATTATGAAGTACATGAACAAACAAAAATTCATCAAATGAATCCAAAAGACTAGTCAGGATGCCAAAATTTCACCACATAGGAGAGAGGAAAGATGGATGACTGTAAAGTTAAAATAGCTTACAAAATTGAGAATTGTTAAAACTTAACGCACCCTCTTTTTATTGATAAACCCTGCTCCTTCAGCATCGCATTTTGCAGGATAGTAGAACCCAAAGCTGGAAGGTCGCTTCTGTCTGCTGGCAACAATAATCTTCCTCTTCCAATACTCTCTTGTGCTGATTTCTTTGTCATCTAATTTCAACTGATCAAACCATGTAATAGAACAAGGGAGAGCTGTACCATTAGCAGGATTACAAGATGGAAACTAAAACTATGAAAAGTTTTAGCAAAGGAGCATAGAAGTTTAACAACCGAACTCCATCTGCAAATAGATACTTGAGACTTACATTTTCAGGACGGTTGAAGTAGCTGAATACATGTGCACGGTACCATCGGGCACAACAGAACGGATTCCCTTCAAGCCACAAGCTTCGAAGAGATGGAAGCACCGCAAGGAACTCTAACTCTAGAAAATTGGAAATAATATTGTAGGAAACATCAAGCCCTTCAAGAGACTTCAAATTCTCAATACCACGCAATGTAGTTAGAGCATTGTTCCTCAAAACAAGTTTAACAACATGACAAGAGACCTGCAATTTTCATCAACAATGATGTATTTGTCCAAATAGAATTCCTATATCAAAATATTTGGTGAAGGAAAAACATGCAACGCATAGAGATTATAACCAAAAAAAGGTTCAAGAAAAGTCCCCTTTTTATTCAGGGAAATGAAAAACAATTAAATAAATGTCAAACCAGTAAATGTTTAAATAGACATATAGACCTTAGCTAAATGAAAAGTCCCCTTTCTTTTATTCAGGGCTTATTCTTTCAAAATTTAAAAGTAATAAATAAGGGAAAGTGTTAATGGAAAAGAATAAGGAGAGAACAACCAAAGTCCTCAAGGAGTACACAAGAAAACATGTAAACAAGCATTAAAATATCCAAAACTAAGCCTGCTACAATGATCAAATTAGACTGTTCTCTTCTATATAGAACCAGATCTCTTCTTAAACTTTCCTCCCATGTCATATTTATTCTTTCTTCCTTTAGACATGGGAAATTAATCTTGACAGAATCACTGTTATTCCACTGTCTCATATGTAAAAATCATCTTAGGCGTGTCCATTACTTTAATTGGTGATGAGGCTACCTTGACCTTTTTCAATCTAATCTATGTTTTCTCACATATACATGTATCTTTCGTAACAATCTCATTGCAGCAACAATCATTTTCTGAACAAATGAAAATTTAACAGCTTGGGATTTAGGGTCACATAGTTTAAATCCTATCATTAACTTCTCCCTGAAGAATACCATCTTTTTGTACTGTGTGGCAAAAGGCTAGATGGTAGATGCAATTGAAATACAATACAAAATATATACATCAATTTATTAATTTTTTAGCATCAAGTAAAAACCAAAAATCATTATTTCATGAGTAATAATCACAGTGACTTACCTCACTAAATGATGAGACGGATCGCAAGTGATTGAATCCCAGGTCCAAGTGCTTCAACTTGGCACATTTCCGAAGATTGTCCACCTTTGCAAACTTATTTCGACTTAAATCAAGGGTTTCAACAGCAGGAAGTAGCTGCAAAGACTCATCCATTAATAACAAGCCATTGCATGCACACGAAACGAAGGACAAGCGGTTCCACTGTGGAGAGCCCTTTATCTCAGCAATTCTACTGGCAAACACATGTCGTAAAGCATCCTACATAATTTAAAAGGACAAACAAAATCCATGAATTGTTGTGAAGTTCCAGCACCAGTTCACCTACTATTCATCAAATAAAAATTGAGAAGATTTTGTCTACAGAGTCCATTCGCAATTTTACTAAATTGTCGCTAGGAGAACAAAAGAAGGAATAGTATATAACTAAAAGAGGTAATTAACTCTCCCTGTGCTTGTAATAAATGCAAAACATCCAAAGAAACTCACAGTTGAATTATGACAAATAATCTTCTCCAAGGTATGTCTCAACTCAAGCAACCCCTTGGCTGCTGAAGTAGACAAATCGCAGCCCCTGAGTTCCAGAACCTTCAGTCTCCCAAACGACAGAAAAGAGAGAGGCGTGGGGTCACGCGCAGGAGGAGTCAAGGCAGACACCACTTTAAGAGTCGTAAGGAGCCGCAGAATCCGGCGAAGTTGCTCGAGGGCCCGGTGATCCCCGAGGTCCGACACGTAGGCACGTAAATAGTCAACCGGAGCTCCAGCTAGAAGTCCCTCCAGCTCCTGGAGCGCCTCGAGCCGCAATTGCATGTAGTGGAGCCCAGCCGGGTTGAGCTTCAGCACCTTCGTACCTTCAATCAAAGCCCCGGCTTGTTCGTCAACAAATTTAACCAGCTTCTCGAGGTAGCGATCCCCTGTGACGATCGCCATCGACAGTAGTGGAATTAGGGTTTAGAAACAGAAGGAAAAGCTCATCCACGGGCACCGCATCGAAAGCTCATAAATAAACACACATTCAAGTCCCACAGTGCATATATATATAAATACAAATAAACCCAAATTCTTAAACCGTTCTAAGATGCGAGAAGCTTTAGGGGGGGAACTAAAAAAGACAAAGAACTGAGAAATGAATTCCCGGAGGAAACGAGAAGGAAATTGCTTTGAAGATTGCGAGTGAGATGGAAGGGAAAAGGAAACATAAGGGGACTGCTGTTGTAATTATTAACAACAAAGAGGCGGTTCAGGGGAGAGAGAGACGGCCTTGGGAGGGCAGATCACTGAACCAAACGAAAACGACGCTATTTTTTAAATTTTAATATTTTTTTCTTCAGGGGTGATATTTAATTGGGACTTTGGAACAGCATCATTTTGTGCTTTCGTTTCCCCATAAATTCAAAGGGAATTTTACTTGTAATTAGTGTGTCATTTTTCTTAAATAAACGAGTTTAATTCAATAAAGACGAAATTCTATTTAGGTCGATACAAGTTTATACTTTTTTTTAGTGTGTGTATATATATATATATATATATCTGATCTTGAATTCAACTTCAATATATTTTAATATATAATAATATTAAATTATATTTTTTGACAAAAAAATATACATTTACTTTTCTTTGAGAGGATTCAAAGTTAATATTTTTTTATAATTTAATTAAATAACTTAGTATAATTATAAGATAATATTTATTATTTTTATAATTTTTTATCATTGAAACTAATTATCAAAATTTATAGTTTAATGTGCGTGTGAATAAGGCTATGAGCGGGCAACATATTTATATATGTTTGGGTGGACATATGCAAAAGTGTGCACGTAGGCTCCGGCTTCCGTGATAATATCCACCATTTTTATGGATGGAACGCGTAATGCTACCTTACCAATCAAATCTCGATGCTTGTATTGTATTAACACGTATAAAATCCATTAGCCTTAGGATTGATGCCAATCTTATCACACAAGAACACCTCAAACTAGGCTACATGAAACAGCATCTTTCATATATGAGATTTATACATCATTAACATGTAACCCTAAACTTGATATACAGCTTGAGTTTTAAGCTAATACAAATAAAATATCTTAATTAAGCCAAGGGTGTGTATCCGTATCGACATCATTCATAAGCCATCTCTATTGTTCCTTGATGAATTGACATCAGGTATTAACTCGACAAGCGCTTACAGTGTGGTGGAGAAGGTGGAGGACATAGCTCACAGTGGTAGCATGGTCCTCAGAGTTGCTTAAAAACAACTAGGGTTAGAGATAAGTCGCTCGCTAAATTTAATTATATAGATAGTATGATAAAATTTTAAACTATATATTTTAAATGATATATTATATTCTCCTCCAACGATTCCCCCCCGACTTTCATACAAGAAAGTTTCATCTTCATCATAGAAAGTAGAAACCTCCCACAATGCTTACCGTGCATCGGCCTATGTCATCTCCTCCCTCGAGTCTATCTCCCGTTTTGCACCATCCAAGGCTTCACATTCGCCGCAATCACCAAGTACTGGTTTCACCTCAATAGAAGCCTCTTCAACTTTTGAATGATCCTTTACTCATCACTAATAACAACCAATGCTTAGGTGATGCTCGTGAGAGCACTCGTCCCAAGTTACATCACCAGCTATGCCATCGTGATCGCCACCACGTCTCTCTTCTTCCTCACATGTGGGTTCTTCCTCAAAGGGAACAAGATTCCCATTTATTGGAGGTGTCTCCACTACGTCTCGGCCATCAGATAACGTTTCGAGGCCTTGCAGGGTGAAAGAGTTCAATGACGAGGAAATCTGCTATACAGGAACCCAGCCGATCTTTCACCGGGTCCTTTAGGCGAGTTAAAGCTCAGTGATTTGCATATCAAACACAATGATACCCTAAAATGCACAATGATGGGAGAAGATGTTATATCATCAATGGGAATTATCTTGGAGAATCATTGGTATGATATTCTTATCATGCTTGCATGGTATTTTTGTAAGTGGTGCACAGATTTTACTCTAAGGACAGAAAATAAATAAAAATGTCTATATCTCTGGTTTTTTTTTTCTATTTTCTTGATCTCCCATCTCCATGTTTATCACTTAAAGTTTGAGTTCATTGCTAATAGATGAATAAATCATTGAAATATTATTAACTAAAGATTTGAAATTTAATTATTTATCCCTCAGGTAGCTAGAATTAAACCTCTGTGAGAATTGTGCGGGTGATGAGGGGAAACCTTTGTTGCTGGAGAAACAAATACAAATGGTTTAATCATGTCGAAGATATTCAAAGAGTTGGAAGACGACAAAATTTCAACAGAAAAGAGCGAATATGAGGGAAAGGAATCGCACATCCCTCACTTCAACGGACCAAGTTTAATATTGAAATGTTTTTTTAATTAAAGCTAAAAGTCAGACTCTCATTTTTGTTTCCTTCCCCGCCATTTAATATAATATATTCCTCTTTTGTTCCTTTGCTTTCCCTCTCCTCCATACTTGTCTGCTCCACGAAGCTAAGCATTGGCTTTTTAATTTGGTTCGTTTCAACTCTTTTTTTTGACTTTTGGAGATTATGGAGAGAGATTTTATGGGTTTGGGCTCAAAAAATGCTCCGATTACAATCAAGGAAGAGCCCTCTGATGCGCCTAACGATTCAGGTACGGTTCTTCTTCTTTTTTAATTCATAACTTGATTAGTTTTTCTTTTTGATTTCAAAACTTATAGACTCCGCAACCCTAGTTGGTGTCTATTGAAATCTTATAAACTTCTCGTGCCTGAATTTTTTTTCTCTCTCGTTTTCTTGGTAACCAAACAAGCGAAACCTGGGAAAGTTTTACTCCAATAAGAAATACCACGAGCAAAACGTCATTTTCATTTAAATAAGTCTACAATACCTGGAAGCACAAGGTACAATTACTTTACAGCAATCCTAGGATACTTTTAATAAAGTTGACGATGTCGGCGTGTGTAAGTTGCTACCCCGTTAGATTCGATTAGGTGATATCTAAGAGCAGCCTTAAATATTAAGAAAATATAATAATGCTAATTAGTCAATAATTTATTTTAAAATTTTTATAAAATATTTGGAACAGATCATTTGAGATAAAATATTAAATAAATGTGGGTTGGGAAAAGGACAATTTGATGATAAACTAGAAATGTATGGTAGCAGGATAACATGGTTGCGTGTTAATAAAACTAACATGGATGGTACTCATATGATTTAATAATCTTCTTGTCAAGGACTTCAATTATTATTTGTTATATATATAAGTCTTTATTCAATCGTCTTGTATGGATCTATGTTCAGATTATTATTTTGGCTCAGCTAAGGACATAATTTAGGTTGTGCTCTACTAATTATTTTTTCTAGTTATGTATAGATTCAGTTTTCATCCAATTATATTATGTAATGTTGATTTTTATTATATTTATACTTATAATTTTTAAATTATAATTATAATTAGACTTATATTTTGTTAAAGAAAACATGAATAAATATTCATATAATTTAATAATGTTTTTATCAAGGACTTAAATTATTAGGCTAATGTGGCATTTTGGAAAGTAGAGCCTATCTGTAATGACGTGTGATTTGAATTTTTTTTATGGGAATACTCATTAAATAAAATATTTATTTACAATGTGATTGGAATAATGTATTTATTCCAATGCCATAGGTGATCTGACCAATGGTTTTTTTTTCTATTTATGTAGCTATTACTAAAAGGAAACAACATGAATTGGATTGTTCATGACATGATGTATGGTGGTTGTGGCTTCATATATCTATCTCATATTTTTTAAAATGATTTAGTGATAATATATGAATTTAAGTCGTGTTAGTATATCAATACAAATTAACCCATTTTTTAATTTAGTTTTGTGCTTCCTTTCCACTTCTAATAATTGTAAGAAGCAAACAGTTTTGACCTTATTATATAAATTTAGCAATCAAGAACATGAACATTGTATTCGATCTTCTTCAACCGAAACATTAGCTTGGAGGTAGCACAGAAAATCATATCCCATTCCTTTTGCTTCTGCAGTATTGTTCTTCAAGGGCTCAGGGATGCAGTTGTCTTTCTCAAACAAGGCACCTTCAGTTCCTCACCTGCTATCTTTCAAAGCTTCTCAAGAAGATAGGCCGAGGAAGGCTGCTCATGACCCTCCACCGGCATCCGGATTCATTGCTATACCGACTGCCAATTCATATGGCTCCACTCAGGTTGGTTCAATATGCAGGGACTTTTGGACCTGGTTGTCTTATGATTTCATTGCAGGTTTACTGATTTTCTTTTATCTCTTCTTTTCCTCCTATTACTGACAGAAACTAGGGGGAAATCACTACAGTGAGGCACACCAATCCCACCATTCCCGTGACTCGAGGGTATTTCCTGTCTCCGGCCAGCCAAATCAAACTATTACAGTTTCCATGAGCACTCCTCTTCTCCAGCCCCGCCTTGGTTCCACTGCACAGAATATAGTGGGTCATACCGTAAACCCGCAACCTTTTACCGGAGTTCCAATCATGGCTCCCCTTGTATCTGTTGTACCTCCTTCAAGTTCTATCATTGGCACTACTGATCTTAGGTATCTAAACTTGTATCCCGTGTGGTTTTATTGAATCTCAAATAAGTATTAGCCTAAACTGCTGGTTGAATTCCTTTTGAAGGTGTGCTGGCAGTGCCAAATCTTCCGGTGCACCATCGCAGTTGACTATTTTTTATGCTGGATCTGTGTTCGTGTACGATGATGTGTCTCCCGAGAAGGTACACCATATTAATTCAGCATGTTCTGCTTGACACCATTAACTTAGTTCTTTGCTTCCATATCCAGGCCCAAGCTATTATGTTATTGGCTGGAAATGGTTCTGCAACTCAGAGTAAAACAGCTCCCATGACTCAAACACAGACGCATGATTCAAGACCTACTGCCGATGCTTTTTTCAGAAACAGTTTCTGCACCATGTCCTCTTTCTCGGGACCTCCAAGTCATGTTTCTGTAACCTCCCATGTCAGTTTACAGGCCGGTGGACAATGTAGGAGCATCAATGAACTAACAGCTGCCCCAAGAATCGGTGCTTTAGCATCTACTAGTAACCCACCGGAGCCTCCGAAATCGGTGAATTCAGTAGGATCTGCTGCGACAATTCGAATTCCCACGGGTATTAAACTCTTGTTTTTTTTTTTGGAAAGGATTCTCCCGTAGCTATTGTATTCTTTCTCT